GAGGCACCGTGAACGTACAAGTTCTTCTGCTCACTTAAGGAGGAATTAGACTTAGTATCTTGGAATGCTGAGGTGGGACAGGGGGGCATGCTAATGGGCAGTAGGCCTGCAGTGGCTTTATAACTAGTTTCAGGAGCCTAGAGTAAGATGGCATGCTTCTGAGTAGACCCACCTCTATTATCTCATTATTGATAAAACGTGGGTTTGTTTTGTTTTTTTTTTTATAGCGGTGGCAGAGGCCTTTTTTTCCCTAGCTTCATTTTCCTGTGTTTGTTTCCTGTTTATTTCTTTAGCTTTGACTAATCCCTTCCTAAATACTGTAGAACTCTAACAGAACTCTAGTGACTTGTTGGACTAGCAAATGAGGGTTCCAGAATTCTTGTATTTCATGTAATGACTCCTGTTGACTTTCTTAATAGGCATACGGCCTCCTATTGTGAATGGCCCAATGCCGGCACGGCCACTGGTTGCACTCCTGGATGGACGAGATTGCACTGTGGAGATGCCCATCTTGAAGGATGTTGCTACAGTGGCATTTTGTGATGCTCAGTCAACTCAGGAAATCCATGAAAAGGTTGGCAAGAAAATGTGCAAGTATTCAAACATAGAGCTCTGCCTCTTGGAGTAACCAAAGCAGAGACTGATTTCGACTGGTTTTTGTTGTAGGTGCTGAATGAGGCAGTAGGAGCTCTGATGTATCACACCATTACCCTTTCTCGTCAGGATCTGGAGAAATTCAAAGCCCTCAGGGTCATTGTGCGTATTGGCAGTGGCTATGACAATGTTGACATCAAATCTGCTGCAGAATTAGGTATGATGATATCATTAGCGCTCTGTTGTGATCAGAACTGAATGTGAAGTGGAACACTGCACATGTTTTTCTGTTTTATAGCTGAGTGCATTTAAAACCTTTTATGTAAAAAGATTTGGAGCTGCTTAGTGTCAGGCATCTGTGGGAAGCTGACCAATATTGGAGCTGGTACGTGTCTTGAAAGAAAGATTCTCAGTTCTCAGATTGCTATGCTATAGATGTCAGTGTCTTTGTTGCTGTTTGGGATTCAGAAACCTGAATATGATGTCTAGATTAAACTTTTGGTGAGGTGGCTTTGGGTTGTTTGTGGAAGAAGAATTGAGCAAACTCTGATGCCTGAAAGCAGCCTGCAAATACCGATGCAGGATAAACTCACTGTAAAGGCTTGGTTAGTGATTTTTCCTGTTAATTTTTTATATGCAGGTAGGTTCTGATTCAACACTTTATTATTGATCCCTTTAGAGCCCTAGGCATGTGAAGAGTCTCTGGATCAGGTGACAAAAAGCTGCTATTTCTTAAACATATGGAAGTGAGACTGTTGGACCTTGTAGTCTCCTAGGTGAGGTGGATCATCTAAGTACCCTGCCCCTTCTTTTTTAGGTTTGTGTCAGTGATTTGAAACCTTTCTTAATGTAATGCAGATCAGATTAAGCTTAAATCAAATGTGAGTAGTTGTATGTGAAATTGAAATAGGCATTACAATTTCTAGATCGGTAAGAACGGATTAATTGCAAATAAAGAGCGCATATTTGTCTAGTGCTTGAATTAGGTCTAAAAAATCTTACCATCTGAATGATTCAACTAAATCGTCTCAAGAGTTCCTGGCAAGGTCTTTGGCTCTCATCCAGCCATTACATTTTTGGGCTGAGTTCTGAACCTAATCTACTCTTAGAGTTCTCTACTTAAAGTCATCATTGATATCTCTGATTCAGATTCAAAGCTTTCCCTTTCCCCCCACTCCACACTCATTAACCCAGGAGAAATGGGTCAAAGTTCTTTCACCATCAGACTGCTGCTTGCCACTTTTGCTTTGGAGCAATAGCATGATGACCCTTTATGCATGGCCAGATTTGCTTTTTCATGGACGATCAGTGATTATTTTCATGCTTAGCCAGGCCCTTTAATTCATTCTGAGGTAAGATACTGTTCCTTATGTGTTCTGAATCTTCAAATCAGACCAAAGGGCTGTTGTGTGTATTTGCCTTTTCTTACATTTAGGCATAATATTGCAGGTAAACACAAATTTGTGTGTAGCTGTGTAAGAGATGAGTGCATGTGGCTTGTCCAAACCTGAATGAGATGGTAACCAGTGAGATTAAAAGAAGTTAGGTTTCCCTATCTCCCGTCCTCATGTCCTCCGAGTCGTCTGTATGGCATTATGGCACAATTGCAAAGGATTTCATAGAGAAAAGGAGTCAGATACCTGGGATTGTGTGTGGCCATTGCTCTCCTAGTTCTCTTGGGAGAGCGTGGTCTGAGTTTAGTTGAATGCGTCCTCTGTAATAGGCTTAGAAAAGAGTGATGCATTGCTGAATTTTATGCGCCTTCAAACATTGCTTAGATTTTATTTCTAGTTTTTAGGTAGATTGTGGACTTCTGAAGAGGAAGAGTTTTCTTGGTTTGACAAGTGGCTAGGGTTATGTTGGGGAAGAGACCATTTTTTCATCTAGTTATTTTTATTTCTTGGCTGGTTAGTTGAATGAAGGATAGCATAGCAGCAGTGAGGTGGTATGTTGCCAGCTTCCCCCCTCCCCCCCTTTTTTTTTATTTTTCAATAGACTGCTCAGGAATGACCAGATTTTGCTTTCCCTTTCCTGACAGTAATTTGTGCTTCCAGGACTTTAACACTGTTTGCATTAGTGATTTACCTGATAGTTCTATCCATGGGTTTTATGGTCCCTTGTGGTTGTATGTTATTCTAGAGTAGGAGTGTTATGTGGTGTTATTTTTAAGTATAACTTCAAATGGATTTAGAGAGGCTCCTGTGGCTTCTCTCTGCGTTTAATGAGTTTGTTACTGATTGTTGCTCCTGGGGAAGCTGATGCTTGCAGTGAGCATCTGGACTATGAGGCATGAAAGAGCTCAACCATCTGTCTTAATTCGTCTGTAGTCTGCAGTTAATCTGTCAGGAGTATCTCTGGAACAAGTGCATCTTTTTGGATGCAGATCTTCTAAAACACTTTCTTGCATCACTTGTATGACCCAGTTTTCTCATTTCAGCCTGTTTTTGGTTTTTTTTTTCTGGTGAGTGTGTCAATCAAATGGATATGTACAAGGAAGGAATGATATTTCCTTGGGGTTAAAAAGCTGGCTGGTTGCATCTATGTTACTGTAGAATGAGCTTCTGAAATGCATCCTGTGTTTCTCGGCAGTAGTTGGAGCACTGAATTATCTTTCAGCACTTATGCCTGAAGAGCTCTATGTTGGTTTAGCATTGTGATGCTAAAAATCTTATATGACCTCTATGGCTTTGTAGGCATTGCAGTTTGCAACATCCCTTCCTCCTCAGTAGAGGAGACTGCTGACTCCACCCTCTGCCACATCTTGAACCTCTATCGCCGTGTTACTTGGCTACATCAGGCTATGCGGGAAGGGAATCGAGCCTCGAGTGTAGAACAGATTCGAGAGGTGGCTGGAGGCGCTGTGCGTATCCGTGGGGAGACTTTGGGCATCATTGGACTAGGTAAGTGATGGGAATTGTTAGATTGAAAAGTGAACTGTGAAAATTTTTGGGAACCTAAGAGTCACAGACCGAAAAATGTGATAATTTTACAGCTGTTCATTGTGAAACACACTGACTCATAAGGAATGCTAGTAGCCTATTCTGTGATGCTGGATATCTTCAAGAGTTGGGTGTATGTCATGGGATTGGGGATTTTTTTTTTTGTATTCAAATGGCTAGAAGAATTGGAACATTCAGACAGCTCTTCTCGGTGATTGTTTCCCTGTGTGCTAGGCTATCAGTAACAAAGCCACCTGAAAGCTACCAATTCCTTCTCCAAGTTCTTGTAATCAGATTATTACTGCCTCTGACTCAGGGTCCAGATTTGGTTTGAAAAAAAGAGCTCCTTCTAGGCTAAGCTCTGGCTATTGCATGGGGAAGGACTAGAATTAGCTATATGGGATCAGCACTGAATAACCTGCTCTGGATCCCTGTGGCAATCCTAGGGGTTTCCAGGGCTGCAGTACCTTGGGCCCTGGCAGTAAACTCCAGTGTAGGCTCCCAGTCTACCCCAGTATCTTGTCTTTAAAGTTTGTTTTACCTTTCCTTGATGATTGTGGGTTTTCTTTTGTGAAGGCCGAGTTGGACAGGCAGTGGCTCTGCGAGCCAAGTCCTTTGGCTTCAACGTGATTTTCTATGATCCCTATCTGCCGGATGGAGTGGAGCGATCCTTGGGTTTACAACGAGTAGGAACCCTGCAGGATCTACTAATGCACAGCGATTGCATCACATTGCACTGCAGCCTGAATGAACATAACCATCACCTCATCAATGACTTCACTATTAAACAGGTGCAGCAGGAGCTTGATTTCCCCCACAGAGCACTGTGGAAATGAATGCAAACAGAAACTGCTGCTTTCACAGAGGCTGAGAGCGTGTGAATCCTGCTGCCTCTGTCGTGTGCCTCCTGCTGCCTTTGGAGGCTGGGAGAGTGTGGATCCGGGTGCCTGTGCTTTGTGCTGTGTAGAATTTTATGTAAACAAAAGAATAGGATTGGCTCTTTTTGCCAAGTAATTTCATTTCTGAAGAGTGGTTTAGGTGATTCAATAGTTTCAAATTATCTTTAAAATGCATAATTGACTGTGCTGGTTAGAGCCAGATGTGGTGTGGCTGGGACTGTGTAAGTTTCTTTACACAGCTCTGCCAAAGCCTCTCTGCCGAAGCCCACTGCAAAGTCAGTCTCGGGCTCTTCTCCACTAGTCTATGAATGCTTTACAGTGCTGTCATGAGAGACATCTGGATGTTGTAGTCCAGTTTTGTATAGCTGGATACTTGATTCATGTCCTGTTTCTTTTTTAATGTAGTAGGATGAATATGGAGTGCAGAACTTGAGAGTTCCACTTTTGCCCTTGTTGTCTTGTGGTTTTGTTTGTTCATTTTTAAAGCAAATTTCTCAAGCATTGCTTGCAGGCATTTCCCCTGTGATTAGCTTTGCAGTGAGAGCACTCCTAGTTCGTCCAGGCCTCATCTAATCACTGCAGGCTCCTGCTCATTTCCAGTAGACTTCCCAAGATTCACTTAGCTTCCATGAAAAGTCTCATTCTCAACCCACTTAATATTTCTCTTGTTCCAGATGCGCCAGGGCTGCTTCTTAGTGAACACAGCCCGGGGAGGGCTGGTAGATGAGAAAGCCTTAGCACAAGCCTTGAAAGAAGGGAGAATCAGAGGAACAGCATTGGATGTGCATGAGTCTGAGCCTTTCAGGTAATGTTGCTTGCATGCCTGCTGCTATCCTGTGACTCACCTACGCTGGATGATTCTTTCGGATTTTTTGTTATTTGAGTTATAGTGCTACCTGAGAGGATAGATGGGGTTATCGCTTCTGGAGAGAAACCACTTTTTTTTTCCCCCTCCACAGCTTTGCTCAGGGGCCCTTAAAAGATGCACCCAATGTGATCTGCACCCCTCACACTGCCTGGTACAGTGAGCAGGCTTCCATTGAATCCAGAGAAGATGCAGCTAAAGAGATCCGCAGAGCTATTACAGGTAATGAGGAAGACTGTGTGCTATGCAGCTGCTGCTGAATTAGTATTCTTTTGTTAGTTCACTGCAAGGATTATGCTGGTACATCTTCCAAATCCTTTGCAATAATTCCTTTGACAGTTATACTGTACACCTTTTTTCTGGAGTAGTACGTATTGTCTCTTGGGGAAGGTGAGGTTTGGCAATTGCAGTTTGGCCAGTAATTTCCTCGAGATTACAGAAATGGGAAGGAAGGATCAATTTCTTGTCTTCTCCAGAGACCAGTTGCTCAGAGGAGAGTCTTCCCTGCCCAGTGTTATCCTGTGGAGGTAGATGGAAAAGATGTTGTGCATTTCCTTTCTACTTTCCTTTGTAAAGACCTCAGTGAACAAGTCCCTCCTACTTGTGTCCTGTTTTTTTGTCATTCTTGGTGCTCTTGCAGGTCACATACCTGATGCTTTGAGGAACTGTGTTAATAAGGAGTACTTGCTGTTAGCAGCTCAGTGGTCCAGTATTGATCCTGCAACTGTCCACCCAGAACTCAACGGAGCTGCAGCTTACAGGTGAGATATGTAGGTTGTCCAAGTTACTGCTTCCAACCACATCTTCCCACTGAAGTAGGCTGACATCCCTCTTTGGGTTTGAGAACTGCTTGTACCTGCAAGCAGGTGTGTTTCTGTTCCTATATACTCTGTATATGAGCTCTTTCCAGAAACTTAACAGCAGCACTTCTGAAGCTGTACTAAGATTTAACATTTACTTAGTTCCAGCTGCATACTGGTTAATTTTTCCAAATCCTTGCAAGACCTGCCCAAGAGATAATAAGAAGGCCTGCTGGGTGCTTGGAAAGAGGTCTGGATCTTAACATTTAGAAGTTGTGGTTATCATTAGGGCTGTATGAACAAAGCACAGTTCTTATCTGTAGCCCAAATATGGACTATTAAAGAGACATTGTCCAGTGGATTTGGGCAGTGGCCTAAATGGGGTGTATTTCAGTTTATTTTTCTGTTACAGACCTGCCAAGTGATTGTGGGCAGGTTGCTTCCCTTCTGTTTTTCTCCTGTCTGCGAAGTAGGAAATACATTCTCTTCCCTTCTCTAAGAGATCTACAGAGGTTTGGATATATTTATGGAGAAGGCACAGGGAGGCAGAATAGAAGTAATGGAAGAGTGGCTCATTAGCAATTCATGAGTATTGCTCTCCTATTTTTCATCTTACATCTGGCTGTCTTACTAGTTCAGCTCCTTACTTTTTCTATATTAGAGCCCAGTGAAGGATAACTGGCAGCTTGCACTCCTTCTGCTGATGGGGAGGGAATTTCCAGCTCTTCATACAGTGCCTCACACTGTTTTCCACTGGAGATAAACTTTGTACCTGTTTTCCAAATGCTCAGTATGTGACCTGAGACTCTCTCTGCCTATCTGAGAACAGGTGTCTTTTGGTGTTAGGATATAACTGCTACTCTTCAGCTCTGGAGACTTTTCCTGTGTTCTGTCTCAGAGCATTTCTGTTAGAAAGAGGGATTTGTGTTCAGGAGGTACCTGAGGGCATGGCTGCTTTCCCCTTGTGTAACTGTTGGACAAGCTTGTAATTTCTATGTTTCTGTTGGTTTCAGGTTTCCTCCAGGAGTAGTGGGAGTAGCCACCCCTGGGCTACCAGAACCACCAGTAGTGGAAGGGATTGTAACTCATGGGATCCCTTCTGTTTCTCACTCTGCACCCCGTACCCCTTCCCCAGGAGAGACGAGCAAACTGGATGCAGACAGAGAGATTCCTGCGGACCAATAGCAGCATCTTTCTCTCCTCTTCTCTGGCAGCAGAAAAAAGTAGGAGGGTATCTCCTCCTAGGACCTTCTTTAACACCCTACAGAGACTGTTTCCTGTTCATACAGGACGGGAGAATACATTTCATTACCGGCAAACTTTAGCTCTTGCCTTTATTTTGTAACCCTTTAGTTTTAATCTCTCAATGAATCTTTCTCCTTCTCTGGAGCAGGGCAGCAGTGACCTTGCCTCCCCTCTGAAATACTTGGTTTAACCAACGATTTTTCCCATATATCTGCCTCAGCTGTCTGTGACAGGAAACTGTCCTTGTGCACTTGAAAATAGAAGTGGAGCTGCCTGATTAGGGATGGCCCTCAGTGTTCCTCACACCAGACTTCAGTGCACACTTTTCAATTGTGACTTATAGCTTAAATTTAATTTGGCTGAACCTCTCTAAGTGTAGCCATGGGGAACATTAGAAAAATATTAGTGAATTGAAGAAGTTGTGACTATTGTCTTTATTATGCCCTTGGTAGAATGCAGCCTAGGCTCAGCTCTGTGTGTTACTTTGCTTGTTTTAATTAAGGTTTCCTATGAGAACAGACATAGCACAGGCATTGCTAGTTCTTGACCATATGAAGTTTTGTCTATGCAGTACTAGGCCTGAAGTTAAAAGTAACAGTCTCAAAGCCAGCCTTGTAAATAATTTGGAAGGGATTAAAATGTCATCAAATGTGTTCTGGTGGCCACTGTGTTTGTGAGGCTTCAGAATAGCTTGCCCTGGAGTCTGTGTAACTCAGAGAAGGCAAGAGAATGCAGAAATGGGAAAAACTTGCATTGGGAGAGAACAAGTAGCAATAACTTGCAGCTGCAGTTACTGGTTCCTCACACACATGTACCTCAGTCTAATGGCGGGGTTTATCCACAAGGTATCATGTTAGAATTCTAAGCTTTGTGCTATAGATTTGGGGGGGCATAATTTCATCAACTAGAAGTAACATACCAGTTCTAGTGACACTTGTCTCTGTGCTGATGGAGAAGGCAGCTTTTAACAGTTGACCAAATTACTTTAGCTCTGCTAGCATATACTGCATCTCCAATAGTGGGCAGGGCAAGACAGTGGTTTTTTACATGAATGAGCTTTGTGATAATAAAGGAGAAAGAACACTCTTAGCTTGTCACCTGAAGCCAAGGCAGGATTGTTGCACTCAAGTCTCTTCCTGTCTCCCAAATGATTGAATATGAATCACTTCTTTGAGGGGTATGGAGTCTTCAGCAAACAGGTTCCACAGGAGAAGATTTTCCTTGATTCCAAATCTTCCTTTAATTTCATCTTGTTACACTTTAATTATAGGCTTTCCATGCACAAGATGTAACAATTCCTGATTGATTTGTTCATGTTGTGTGGGTATATTAAAGTAGGTGCTATATGGGAGGCATACCCTATGCGTGGGTTTGCCTCCCTTGATTCTTCCCTCTGTTGTGTGTCTGTGACTGGAAGCTGAACAGCTGGGACAGACTGGAAATACACCTTGAGGTGTGGACAAAATCCTCTGTTTAAGCTGTTTACAGTTTGGAAAGCTGAGGAAAGCTTTCGGAGTCAGTAAGTTTTCAAATTTTTTTCTGGTTTTAAATTTTTCTCCAATACTGCCTTCATATAATGGCTTACTACTGATACAGTGAAGTGATTCATTCCTTCCTCCTCAGCCCCCCCTACTTCTCTGCAGAAATTTAAGAAAGGAAAATAGGCAAGAAGTAAACTTCAGGTGTTCTCTTACAGATTTTACACTTTAACTGTTTAGCATTAGTGAGATGATATTAGTTCTCTAGTGCTGAGTATCTTTTTTGATAAGGTATTTGTTTTGGTGAAGGTTCTTGGCTTCTGTGTTTTCATGGATGATGCTGATTCTACTTAAAATTCATATACCTCCTTGGCTGCTCAGGTTTAGCAGATCAGACTGGGACTGGTGGTAGGCACAAGTTACAGGAGAACTGTTCTGAGCAAAAGCCTAAAGCTCAGAAGCACTTTGATTGCAGCTGTACCTAAAATAACCAGCAGCACTTTCCTGAGTTTTCTAATCTCTAGGAAACCTAAATTTTACAAGCTACTAGCTCAGAAAGCTGTTCTTCTGACAGGCAGATAGGGAAAAGTTTTCAGGGACTGAGAGCTCATCTTCTGTCTATTACCACATTAGGAAAGCAGTCTGTCAGTAACTACTCTTTCCTTATTTGCTGCTGAAAATTCCCGCTCCGCTTAGAGGTTCAGGTCTGAGATTATTTTGTGGTAAGGGGCTTCTAGCTATGAGCTTTGTGTATACAGAGGATCAGAGTACATTGACCTTGTCTCTTCTAGAGCACAATGCGAGATAGATTTATTTTTTAAAAGAGGCAGCAATTTTTTTGTTTTTCTTCTTAACTGCAAGTATCTCTATAGACCAGTCAAATAACTGAGCAGAGGAAGAGC